AAAATGTGCATCATCCTGCTCCCTGACCACTTCATGTTACTTACTACCATCTGTCAGGAATATATCCTAAAGCTACATTCTATACTCCAGACTCCAGTGGGCAGCAGCCCCTGGCAACTCCTGCGCAAAAGTCTTGAGCTTAGTTAGGTAGGTATCATACAGGATTCCCACCCCTTCCATGTATGATTACCCTCAGGGACAGTGGAAGTGATCCTTTTAAGTTACCCTGCAGTCACTGCTCCCCACACCCACACACTCACTCTTCCAGACTCTCCCCTGGGTCTCCTCCCCTGGTTAGCCTCCCTTGGGTCTCCTTCACACAACCCCACCCTCTACTCCTTTGCTATGACACAAATCTCCTAAGTGCTTTCCTTACCTCCACATCTCTCTGTTCCCATGCATCCTTCATGAGCATGCCGAAGTGCTCTTTCTAATGCTTGTACCCAGTCTTGTCTTTCCCTTGGCTACCAAGGATTCAAAGCATCAAGTCTAAGCACTTAAAGCTGCATGGCCCTGAACGTCCTCTCAGGTATTGCATCTTCATTTGATTGCTTAACCAGTCTCTTCGGGTCTCCCTGCCATCACCCCAATGCTCCATGTGACTGTGTCTTTGCACGTTCTACTCTTTTTGTTTGGAAAGTCCCTTTATTCTCTGTGCTGGTGAACTGCTCTTGAGTTCATGCTTCAGAATCATCTTTCTTCTGAGTTCTCTTTGATTTCCTCTGGACAGACAAGTCTTTATTCTACAATTCCTGGAATGCATTTCTAGTGTAGCATTTAACCATGTGCACTTTGGCTATTTATCTATGAGGTGCTGTCACCTAGGTAATTATAAAGCTCAGGAACATAGTCTCTATCTGCTTTGTCTTTGTATCTCTAGCACTAAGCATAGTATTTGGCATATCCAGGGAACCTGCTAAATGCTTACTGACTGACTAAATAAATGAATGAATGTTACATTGCCTCCCCCAAACCAACCACCCTAGCATCAGGCAAAGAAGTTCAATGGCTGATGATCAGAAGGTTGTCGTCATCATCATCATCATCATCAAAGGATGCTTTGATTGACTGAAGCCAAGTGGTGCTGAATACATATGTGTCAGGAAAGCCAATTCTATCTATCTCTTGGCCAATAATGAGGTGATTATCAACCACAGAAGTGATTATCAACCACAGTATGTCACTTGGAGCTAGCTTCAGGGGCTGCCTATCAAGCTTGTGCCCCCATGATGATTTTTAGCTTCTGGTGCCCTGAGGGGTATACATACCCCAAGCCATGCTGCAAAACTACCACAATATTCCAGAAATCCCAGACAAAGAGAAACAGTCTTTGTGTCTCTAGGTTAGATGCTTTCAAATAACACCCTCATGTTTTACTAGTTAGTGCTGGCCACAGTCATAGCCCTAAGTCAAAACTCTGGCAGGTGGAGGGGTAAGAACTATGGCTGAGCTTACTCAGGATTCCTTCCTGAGTTAGAGATGGAGTTATTTTCTACATGACAACATGGCAAAAAGTAATGATCCCAAGATGATCAAGCTATGACTACTAAAAGAATGGGTGCCTGGGTGCCAAATAGGCAAACGGTAATAAGAAACAAAGAGCAAGCAGATGACTATTTGTCTCTATCATCAAGCCTGTGAAATGGCTCCACGTTACTAACTTTGGACCATCAGCTACTGAACACTTCTTTGCCTGAAGCTTCCACCAATCCTAAAGCCTCCTTTGCTACCCAGACAGCCATCTAGGAATGCTGGGAGCCTGACGTCCCCAGCCTTGGAGCAGGCTTCCACCAATGACTGCTGAGAACAGATTCAGCCATCGTGTACAAAAGCCTGATTTCCTCATCCCTAGGGCACATACTCTGATGTTTCTATGCACTGGCTTCCAGAATGTTCCTAATAGAATTCAGCTCCAGTTATGCACTATGGCAGCTGGCTTAACCATACACCCTTGAGGGCTGTTTATCTTTCACGGAGTTGCTTTTTCAGGCCATTCTGGTGTCTCAACTCCTGTTGCCTCCTATTTCAGAGTTATTATCTTGACAAAATCAAGCACACATGCTCTCTATCATATGACCAGCTTGTTCTTGAATCTAGAGGTTTGTGTGTTGTCTTGCCATCTGTGAGGAATGTGATTTCTTCTCCTTATTTCAGTGTAAATGCCACTGTCCTTGGGAAGCCTTCCCCCCCCCAAACTACCACTACCATCACACACACCTAACACCTCCCAGTGACCAGCCTTAGATTCTGTAATTCCTCTTAATAGTTGTAATAGTTTCCTGTTTAGCCCTTTGCCTCCCCAACTTTAACTGAACTAGATTTGACCTCCTTGAAGGCAGGGATGCTTTTTCAATTGCTTTTATATTGTTAATCTCTAGTACAGAAGCTAGCGCAAGACAGAGCCACAGACTTGCTGGCTTTAGGAAATATGAACCTTGCAAGGAACTAAAATAGAAGTTCAGGGTTGTTTCACAGGTGAAATTATTAAAAATTTGAATGAAAAAAGACATTTATCTATATGACTTCTACATAGGTCTACATTTATTTCCTGTGATAAATACAACTCTTATCTATACAAAAAAAAAAAAAAGCCCAGTATTTGAGATAGAATCTTGCCATGGCTCATTGATGTATATAAAGATATCATTTTTACCATCTTTTTTTAAACATTGTTTTATATCATTTCTACCCCCTCCTCCAACTCCTCTGGTATCTCCTTATTCAATTTCAAATTCATGAATTCTTCATCAGTTATTATATTAACACACACATGCATCAGTACATGTATGCATGTGTGTGCGTGTGTGTATGTGTGTGTTATTGCACATAAACTCAACCTACTGAGTTGATCTAAAGGTTCCCAAACATACAATGTTTAGAGCTGACCACTTGTTTCAAAACCTAAACAGAGCTACACACAAAACCCAAAGGTCATTCATTTTATTTGTACCTAAAAGGTGCTGTCTCAGCAAAATTCTAAAATTATCTACCATCGAGTCTTTTGAGAAGTCTGCAGGGTGATTCTCTCAATGGAAGAGAAGATTCTGTGTCCTATGTTTCTCTCTCTGCCTCTCCCTGGGAGAATTTCTGCATCTGGCCTTTAGCTTTCCTTAAGGGAATATGGTCTGTTCCTGTGAAGGTGAATACTATATCTCCTGGAAAAGGCTAATGGGGGCATTCTGAGTCACCTCTGGGAGAAATTTCCACTGGGAGAAATTTCTCCCAGCAAGTGGCATGCAGGAGGGCAAGCACCCACGGGGGAACAAAGGAGCTTGCCTTCTCGGCTGACTTTTCTCCATAGATCTTTCTTTCTGAGGCAGGGAGGGAACGTAGGTTTGCTGGGACACTAGACTTCTATTATTTGGAATCTCTGTGACAAAGACCTGCAACTCTACAAATAGCAGTGTACCACATGTCCTTAGTAGGATGTCTCAGCTTCAAAGAGCTCTGAAGTTTAATCTTTACTGTTTTACAGAAAGTAGGCATCTGGCCTGGATCAGTGACACCACTGCCCAAACCCCTGGCACACTTACTTGACCTTCAGACTTGTTTACATAACTTTCTTACTGAGAAAGTCCCCCTCTTTCCTCTGCCTTCCCTGAATTACGATTTTTATTTTTGTTTTCCCACAAAATTTGGTCCATTTCCTGAAGGCCCACAACACTAGGGTAGGGGCCCAGAACATGGCATACAGTGATGCAGTTGAGTACATGGACCACACTTTTGTTTTCACATAGCTCAGGTAATTTTGGAGTCTCAGAACAGGGTTTATACCTTCATCCCTCTCTTCTAAAGGAAATCCCATATAACCCTAAACCTGGGACAATAAACAGATCCAAGGCTTCAAGAAACCGGCTACCATGGAATTCTAGAAAGCATTCCATCACCTATCATATACACTGGGCCCAGAGGTTGCATAAATAGACAGCCTGACTTATAGTTCGCTCTGCCATTTCAGAAGAAATACTTGATCCAGAAAAGCAGCCTCTGGGCTTAGAGATGCCAGACCTCTCTTTCCCTTCTCACCAACCCAACAAATAAAGACCTGATTCTCAGACTCTCACATCTGGCCCATTCTCCTGAACCCTTGGGTCCCTAACCCCAGGGTTGGAGGACACTAACCTCTCAGACCAATAAAAGTCAGCTGTCAGCATTTTGAGGTTGAACTGAGTCTATAACATTCTCCTCCATTGATGAATTTCTTACAAACACTCCACTACACTCTGGGGGAGACTGACAAGAAAGGCCAGTGGAAGTAAAATGATGGACTTTGCAGACCGGATCTGCTACTTACAAGGGTGAGGATGCAAAGGATACAGTTTCTCATGCTGTGATGATCTCCAACCATAAGATTATCTTCTTTCTACTTCATAATGATAATTTTGCTGCTGTTATGAATATAATGTAAATATCAGATATTTGACACTTGTGGAGGTCGAGGCCCACAGGTTGATAACCACCGGCAGGTCACTTAAGCACTCTGGGTCTGTTTTATTTCCTTTATCAAAGGAACAAAATGGTGATATCCATGTCACATTCCCGTTAGGATTAGATTACAGTATCTATTTAATCATCAAGCATTTAGTCCCCTTCTTGGGTCATTTTATTTTTGTCTCCAGGGACTTTGCATAAATTTGAACGAGGAACAGTCTATGTGTGGGAGTCTTACAGATCATTTAGGAGATGGGAAATTTATTGTGGGACAGGGCATAGCTCTAACAGACATAAGAATAGTGGATATAGCAAGCGTCTGATATGCATTTGTTGCACACATGACCAACATGGTGAGGACGGACGTAGTTGATTAACTCTGCAAAATAAGTAACTGCGCGGACTTGCATGATCATCCTCTCATACATACAGTTGCTATAACAGTACCTGGGAAATGTTGGAAAATGCTGTGGTTTAAAGAAAATGACCATTAAAGGAAAAAAAGAGGAAGGATCAGAAGAGGGGAGAAAGCCTGGGGTGAGAGGAGACAAAATACATCTTCTGTCTACCTGGCCAAGTGTGCACTCCATGCCACCCAGGAAGTCAGCCTCCTTCAGCCCATTGTGGTTGCTGCTGATGTCATGGACTTCAAACCGGAGACGTTGGACCTCTTCAAAGTAAAAGTCCACCGTAAATAGCTTTGAGTACACTGGGTTTATACAGGTACGAATCACCTCCGTCCTGTCCACCTGAAAGGAGGAAAAGAAAACCCACAGGGATTAGGACTTTTAGAACTAACCTTCAAGCAAATTAATCTTGCGGTGCATCACCTAATTCCAAACTCTAAATACCCTCCTGAGAGTCACTAGGGATAGCAAATTGAAACTCTACAAGCCACTCCAGAGAATGAACCAAGCTTTGGTGCAGACAGTTTTACTAGACATCACAAACAGTCAGTTGGGAGTTCTTTATTTGGAGATTTCAGTCATGTTACATAGATTAGGTGACAGAACACGATGAGATCATCATTAGTGCAGGAGAGTCTGAAAGCCTGTCTGAGCTCAGTAGGAAAGACATCTGTGATCAATTAGTGATGTCTGCTGAACACAGTCATGGAAAAATGGTAGCTGTCTTCTTTTAGCCAAGTCTATTCTAATGGAGGTTTCCAACTCATAATTCCCAGGACAACAAAGAGGAGGGCCATTAGAGCAAAGGTCAGCTGCTTTTGTTCTCAAGTATGCTCTTCGTTAGGTAGACATTTACCTGTTCACTACACTTAGTGACCCTCAGTTTTCTCATCTGCAAAATGTCAATTCGAAGAACAGACATACAGTTCCAATATGCCACGAGCTGTAATTCTTTCTGCCTTTGTTTGTCCCCTTCTCCTAGATCCAGGACTGCAACATGCTGTACGAGGAGGCTGAATCTACACATTGAATTTCCTGGGCTCTCATCTGGGAGAGGTCCACCAGAGGGAGGACTGGGCATGGGATGAGGGAGTGTGAGAACAGAGAGATTCAGGCTGCCTCTACACATACAGATGCTGCCAAAGACTCTTCCCCTCCACCCAGATAGCATGTACTGAGCCTTGGTGACATGAACCCTCATCCTTCCCTGTCCTCACCCCATCTCATACTTTGTTACAGTTTTTTTTAAAGATGCTTTCAATTATTATTTTAATTATGTATACAAGTGTATCTTTGTGCACATGTGTGTGTTCACATGGGAGTGGGTGCCTGCAGAATCTAGAAGACAGTGTTGTGTCCCTTGAAACTGGAGTAATTATGAATCGTCTGATGTACATGCTGGGGACTAAACTCGAATTCTCCATTGAATCATCTCTTCAAGCCCCATTTTTAATTTTTTCAGATAAAGTCGTTCTATATAGCCCAGGCTGTCTGGGAATTAACTATGTATCCAGGAAGGCCTGGAATTTATCACAATCTTCCTGCCTTGGTTTCTCCCTGAGTGCTGGGATTATAGGCACGCACTGACACACTTGGTCTTTTGGTCCCATGTCTTTCTTATCCCTTCAGATGAAGGATAGTAATGGCATTTTTGCTGTGGCTCTCCTGATGTTCTACCATCCTGTGCTTGCTCCATGCCCTTATCCTGGGAGAGTTTAATTCTCCAACGTTTCAGCCTCCAGGACTGGACTCTCTGATTCCACTATCTGTTTCCTGTCTAGATCTGGTCCGTTAAGTGTTCTTTCCTTTCGAATTTGTCACCAGTGAAAACACACACAACCATTCATATTCTTAGAAGTCTGAAAAAAAAAACCTCTCCCAGTTCCCATAGCACTGTCCAATGGGAGCAACCAATTCTTTCTTGCTCCACAAACCAACTGGAGTCTGTTGTTCCTGCCCTATGCTGGCTTTTGAGTAGAGATGTGGTCTGCTGACCGTCTCTCAAGTGCCAGTTCTTAGCACAAATTATAAAACCGATTCTCTTACTCTCATGTAGATAAGAGGAAATAATAGTCTTCCAGAGGGAAGGAGTCTACCCTGTCATCCGTCTCTCGCTGCTCCACAAGGACAGTCTCGTGCTCGCTCCAACACTCTGACCATCACGGAATGCAGGTCAGGTGCAATGCCCTGACCCTGACCCTGGCTACTTTCCTTTTCATGCTGGACTGTGTGAGAGAATCTACAGGTGAGGAACACCACCCATTATGTACAGGTGGGTAAACAATCCAGATTTTAAGGAAAAGGAACACAGCTTTTGTCATGTCACATGCAGCAGAAAGCCATCTACAGCCCACTATGCTTAGGATTTTACAAGTTGGTTATTATTTGACTATTCTGGCACCTTATGAAGACTTGATTCCTACTTTAGTGGAATTTTACACTCATACACATACATATATACATGTCAGTGCACACACACACACACACACACACACACACACACACACACACTGATTTTGAGAGCAGGACTGATTGATTCTATCACTGACTATGCCAGTACAAGAATCTACTGGAATAATTCCTGACTTTTTCCTTATTTTTGAGTAATGGTGGAAAGCAGAGTTTACAAGTTTGTGGACCACCAGTTAAGATGACACGAAGGCAATTCTTTTCCTTTAGTCAGTGTGCTTTCTCCTTTATCTCTAATGTATAAAGGGTGGTTTCTATTCTTCTACATTTGGAAAAAGATACTGTAACAGCTGGTAACCTTCCTGCATTCCTCAATGGTCAGAGACTTCCACACTGAGACAGGTCATCTACAGCACTGGCCTGACATGTCCTTCCAGGCTCTTCTCCCTCATGGAATGGCTCCATTTGGCCCTGAGAGACTCATTATATTTTAACATCTGGCTCAAATGCATAAAATAATGAATCACAAAATGAGAGGTTTAAGTATACTTCTGTGATATCTTCTGATAGAGAAATAGATTATAGGTAGATTTGACATCTTCAGAGAAGAGAAAATACATTCAGTGTCTTGAGCAGGTTCAAGTGATAAGAGACAGGGGATAGAAACTAGTCTTTGTTCTTGTATTAGACACTTCAGCTGACACAAATCGATCGCAGTTTAATTTTCAAATGTAATTCACATATAGAGCTATGATTCATGTTGGCATTAAGCGACACATCTCAGATAGGCTATCCAAGGTGAGCCACCAGCATGTGACCTCCATCCCCAGGAAATGAGAACAATGGGAAGAAATGAAGTAATACAGATTTACTTTATGAAGATACATGATCTCCAAGGATAAAGAGCAGCCACTGGGAACCATAAAAGCATCAGTTTCCGACACAGAGGGAAGGTGTTGAGGTGAGTGTTCACAATGCTAAATGTGTAGGAGAAAGTGGTTTTAAGCCTTCTGTGTCCCCAGTCATTATGAGAGGTGCATCATCTCTTCTGGAGGCTAAAGACAGGGTTCCCCAGAGCAGCAGCCTCGAGCTGCTCATGTTTCTTAATAAGGGGTGTCAAGTTCAGAGCAAGCATCTCTAAAGATCCTTATTAACCAGAACTGCCAGCTCTAGCAGGGGAACATTCCCATTCCATAAAATCCAACCCCTAACTCTGATTTAATGAGTAGAGGGTAGGGCCCAGCAATCCAGGCAGTTGTGTACCTGGGGTTGCAGGTGCACACCACCATTTTCTGTGTGTCCTGGACAATCATGCTGTGGGGCTTGCCAGTCATTGTGAAATAAACTGCTCTCTGTGAGGCGAGGCTTTTCTTGTTAAAGTGAGTTTTAAACTTGCTTGCTCTCTGTCATCCACTTTGCAAAGACAGCAATGCTTATTCAGCTCCTGTCTTTTACGGTCATCATGATTGATACATTCATATTGCTTTAGAAATTTCAGGACACACTCTTATCCATTTAAATAATTTATAACATTCATTTGTGTGTGTGTGTGTGTGTGTGCGCTCGGGGGGGAGTTTGACTCTGGGGAGTCAAACTCTGATCATTAGGCTAGGCTGCAGGTGCCTATCCCCACTTGAGCCACATCTCCAGTCATCTGTTAACTTCGGCTTTTGCAGCAATCATTCTGGGAAGCTTTGTACCCTTTTCCAACTGAGACAATTTCCTATCATACGTGAAAAGTGATAGATGCATTGTAGGCTCTTGAATTCAGCATGCTGAGTGACTGCATCACCTGGCCTTTATTTCATGTTTATTCATGTCCATTCCTGAAATGGCAAATGTAGCTAGGCTACGGTTGGATGAAGAGAGAAGCCAGCCATAACTTTCCCATTTATACACAGCTTGCAAGTAACAACGGTGGATTTGAACCCAGGCAGTTGAGCTCTGCAGCTCATGTGTCTAACCTCTGGTCTTACAAACTTGATGCTTTTCTCCATAAAGGTTCTTGCCATCAAGCCTCAGGACTTGAGTTCTAGCCCTAGGTCTGACATGGTAAAAGGAAAGAACCGATTCTTATCCTTGGGCCTCTGCACACAGACTGTGACAAGCATGCTCCTAAATAAATAAACAAATAAATAAACAAACACAAATTTAAATTTTTTGTTGGTGTGAATGGGAAGGGGGTGAAGGCAGGACCAACCACTGAGGCCAGGCAGAGTGCACTGTGGTTTCCAGAATAAAGACCCTGGTTTCCATCAGGCCCTGGTAAATAATGACATCATAGACCAAAGGAATTCACCATGTCCTCAGGGCAGGCTCCAAACTAGATACTCCCTCAGACTGATATTCTTTAAGTACTTTCTCCCCATATTTATTTAGGGTGAATAGAGAGAAACTAATTTTCTCTGAATGAAGAACGGATAAGCTTATGTGCAAGAAAGAAAGGATTTATTGCAGGCAATTTTTCAAACCATATTAACTTCCAAGAGGGCATATTAAGTCACATAAAGCTTCTATAATAAAACAGATGGCTGGGCTAGCAGAAGGAACAGTGCTCTGTCTCAGGACCTCAACTGTTGCTCAGCACCTGCAGGAATTCATGTGTCCTTTAAGCCACCCACCTAGTGGCACTTACTCAAAGCAACCCTGGAAAACAAATGCACCCTTCTTTCTAGAAACATTCAGCCTGGTACCTTGCAGAGATTCCTTCCCAGTCTGACATTCTTCAGCTATCATGAAGTAAATCCTTCCAGCCCTCTGGAGCAGACTGAGCAGGATATCAAGGGGCTCCTTCCCCCACTCCAACCAGCAGTTCATTGAGCCCTTCCTTTGAGTTCTCTACTATGTACTTGATCATCTCACTAGATGAGCCTCTCAAGCTAGAGATGTTCTGCTTAGGAGCCCTGGAATCAACCTGCCAGTGACTACAGAGA